CTTCTGTCGACAATGCAGGACAGCAAAATTCACCATCAAACAAAATGTAATTGTTAGGTAGTTATTTATGCTACTTATTTACTTTCTCACTCTTTCTTTGGACTCCATTCCTCCTGAGTTATCACCATTAGTGGTAAGAGTAACCAGAAAAAGGAGAAAATATGCTAGGGTATGTAAATAAGAGAGGATGTGATCCCTGTGACTGAGTTCCCACACCACATTAGTTAGTCACAGAGGGGATTATGAGTAAGGAGACCCAAGGATCACATGGAAGTTATTTTTGGACGATTCTAGCCCTATCACTTCCAATCTGAGAAAAATACAGTTATTTTTGGACGATTCTAGCCCTATCACTTCCAATCTGAGAAAAATACAGGTAAAATTCAATTTTGCAGTTTATATTGAGGAACTATTGAAATTAATGACTAAGCAGCATCCCCCAAATTCTGGAGAAATGATTTATTATATTACTAAGTACCACATAAAACATCCGTTGAATATCCATAGTAGGGAAGAGAGTAGTAGTAAGAAAGAACTGTCAGACAAAGGTGACATAGCTCATTTTGATGCAGTGTATTCTGGGAGGATATTGTATGATGCTGAAGAGGCCTGTAAATACTCAAAGGCAAACAAGAGTACAAACGTTGAATATAAATCTGAGAATACATGAGGGAGCCAAGGGAGATGAAATGGCACTCACTGTCTAGTGGTGTGCATAATCCACAATATGTATAGTTTTTTCAGGGATAACTGATTTATCACTTCCCAATAAATTAAACATGGCCCGAACTAATTATTTTTCAATATATATTCCTGAAAAGACTTCAATACCCAATGTATTGTTCACGTTAATGAAATGTAATTTTTAGTTTCAACAAAAAAAATCTTTAGAGTCATTTCTGATCTCCCTTTTTCTCATAGATGTTTCATATATTCAGTGAGTCACCAAGTTATATTTGTTTCTCCAATTTAGAAACATCTCCAATCTGTCCTTTTCTGCCACAACCCCAGTCCAAACCTTCATCACAGAACCCTGAAATTATTACAATAGACTCCTAAATGATTTTCCTATCATCTCCCCTCATCAAATTCACATTGTACATGTCTACTATATTAAACTTTTTATATATTCATCATTTGACTTCTCTTCTTAAATATCTTCACTGACTCTTAACCATGTCCAGAATAAAGTCCTATCCACTGTGACTGGTTTTCTTAACTCTTCAGATTGGCTCCATATTGGCAGTCTAAGCCTAACATTTAGCACTTATCAAACAGGCGTCCTGCATTTGAGCTAGGTTGTCTTTCCGTGTTTGGCCAATTCCATTTCAAATTCTTTCCTTGTGCTTTTTTTTCCTGGCTGGAATTCACCTATTCTCTTATCTATGTAACTAAATCTAACCATCCATTAAAGCATAGATATTGCCCCTCCTTTCCCTCCAAGCCATTAAGTTAGTGTCTGAAAACATGCTTGCTAATATTGTTTAGTTGTGAAATATTTAATTCCTATGTCCTCTCCAAAAGTAAGAAGTAGCTCACATTTTATACCTCTTATCTACATCCCTAGTACTCTTCTACCTTGTATTTTTGTATATAGTCAGTAAATTAACTCGGAATATACAATGAGGTCCCTAGCTTAAAAATTGTTACCAAATCAAATCAGATTTGAAAAATATAAAAAATTCATTTGTAATGAGTGCTTTGCTTTTAATATATAGTTGTGGTCTGACAAAGTGCTTGATAACCTGTTCTCTAAATGTGCAAAACACATTTCACTTCTAAAAAATTGCTAAACAAATCTTTTGTTCAAAAACATAAATTACATAAATTTCAGCTCAGTCTTATATTTCAATTATCACTATTATCAATATTTTGAATGAGCTGCATCTAAATTAGGTTTTATTATTACCGAATCATCAAATGAATCTGTTTGATATCAGTAATTACTAAGGGATTATGGATATTCCCAAACAGGCAATTAATCAATGCTTGATCTGGAATCAAGGAATAGTCATAAATACCCTTCTCTCATTTTTGCTGGATGGGAATATGAAGTATTTAATCCAGAGAAAAATGACCCTCATATTCTATCAAGTTTCACTTCTACTACTCAAGCCTTTCAATTATGTAATACTATAATGAGACCAGGGTAAAAATGTCAAAATAAACGTATTTTAACTCATGATGAATATGTTCAAGAGTCCCCTGGATGCAAACCTTCCTGCAAAGTATTTTGTTACTGTGTTTTCAATTGGCAAAATTTTAATAAACCAAGGACTGAAGAAGCACAAAAAGCAAGTGAGATAACATTAAACCATACCCCATTATTTTTAATGGCAAATTTATGCCAACACTAACAAAAATGTAACCATTATATTTGTACTGATACTTTTGACTGTAATTTCATGCTATTTTCACCATCATGTTGGAAAAATCGTATTGAATGGGAAATTTTTTGAACAAATTGACTGAAAGAAACCAAGTGGGCCCATAAATAACTACAAGATTTTTATCTTCAAGAAAAGTAAAATCTTTCCTTTGACAATTACACAGAATAGAACAAAAGCATATTTTATAATTGTTTTTAATGAGGGATTGAAGAAACAAAATGACAGGATTTTAAAATATTTTTATGGTTATATATATTAACAGATGCTTAAGACCTGCATGTTCACCTGGGATTTCTGCATTCCTATCTGTAGGAAAAGAAGAATAACTTATTTAAGAGGACTTAACTAATGACAACACATTTCTAAAATGGGCTTAAAAATCCTTCCAAAGTGCTGAGGGAGAACTGTTAAATGGTTACAAAAAATCACACTCTGACCATTTCTTTGGATTACAAATTTATGTATACTTTTTGCTTTTTCACTGAATGAGTACAACCAATTTAAAAATTAGATAGTACAGATGCATTTCAAAATGGCAAATTATAAAGTGCACCGCCAAAGTGCTATAATTGTTATCGACAAATGTACATACAAACAGTACTGGATTAGAATATTTCACAGCAACTAATAGTGTTTGCTAGCCGAACTACGTTAAAAATTTTAGAAGAATAGAAGAACTACATGCCTCATAAAACCTTATATAAAACATTTCCATTATTATTTGATTCATATATAAACACACTGACCTCTAAATCCAGAAAATAATTTCTTAATGCACACTCAGACTTGCAGTAAATATTGGGACTGAAAAATGGGCCATGTCCTGAATGGCTGAGAGATGGTGACCATGAAAAAGACTTACCTAATTAAAAAAAAAAAAAGAGATCATGGCAAGGAATGGAGTGGACATGCTAGAGAATAGGTTGGAGAGGGAGCAGAGCTGGCAGAAGGTAAGAGACATATGTTAATGTGGAATGGAACAAGTGGTTATAAACAAAAGTCATCATGAAACTCAGAGGAGTAGAATGAAAGTTGATGTGCATACACACACACACACACATACACACACACACACACACACACACACAGGAGTTACTAAGCAAGAGTTAGGTAAATTTTAATATGTCTTATAGTTGAAATTTTGCCATAACTATCTTAAAATATTGTGAAGATCAAATATAACAGTTGTGAAAGTGCTACATAAACTGTAAAATGCTATACTCAAGTAAGACAGACAATGTTTACTCAAAATGCAAAGTAAAACTCTCATTCCAACTCTGGGAGAAGGCAAACAATGGGCTCTCCAGGGCACAGAGGGGAGAAAAACATTACTCTGGCCTATTACCAGATTTCCTTGGAACCACAGGCTCTCCGGTCACTCTATAGGATGGCTTTGAATGCAAAAGTTAAGACACTGGCAAAGTTGGCAAAGTCACAGAATAGTGTGGAGAAAAATCCTTAATCTGTGGAAGAAAGAGATTCCTTTTTCTGTTTCTTTTTTTTTTTTTTTGCTGTATGCGGGCCTCTCACTGCTGTGGCCTCTCCTGTTGCGGAGCACAGGCTCTGGACACGCAGGCCCAGCGGCCATGGCTCACAGGCCCAGCCGCTCCGCGGCATGTGGGATCTTCCCGGACCGGGGCACAAACCCGTGTCCCCTGCATCGGCAGGCGGACTCCCAACCACTGCGCCACCAGGGAAGCCCCTTTTTCTGTTTCTTAACCTGCATAAAGCATTACTGCCTGCACATGAGCATGGTGTTAAATTATGCTAATTTCTTTGAGGAAGGGAATAAGAGGGACAGGAAAGGTGTAAAAATTCACTAAAACAGCCAAAATGCAAAACATTTTTCCCTCCATACCTAACTACTAGGATAGAAGAAGTCTACAATGCATCAGCTATGTGTAAATTACAATAACAGCTTTACACCTAGGGAACTGAGGGTTAGTGAGAGGAAATGACTTAATAAGGCCACTTATTCAACACCACAAAGTCAGTATTTCTGAGTCTGAGTCTCATCAAATTCCTGGAACTTTCCCCAACACAGCCTTCCATCAAAAAAAAAAAAAAAAAAAAGAGGCTACAAGGATAAACAGGTAAAATGAACCAACCTAGATTTTCAGCTTTCTTCTTTTTTAAGCTCATCACGAGATTTTAGAACTATTTTAGCACTGTGTAAAATTTTCATTAATTTTTTAAAGTTAAACACCAGTTATATCTTCTCAGATCATTAACTCTCAATGCATTTTTCATTACATTAGGAGCACATGCAATTGTTAATCATTTTAAAAGGTCTTAAAATTTTCAAGGAAGAGCAAAAAATGATGAAAATAGAGCTGGAATGACCTTAGAAACAATCTATTCAAACCACCTCATTTTATAAATAAGGAAATTAAGGCTCAGATAGGATAAGTGACTTGCTCAGGGTCACACAATCTGTCAGTTCCAGACTCAACATCAAAATTTAAATCTCCAAACTTGTAGCCCAGGGCTCTGTTCTTTTTCAAACCTTTAAGAAATGACTGCATTTAAACATTTAGTCCAGAATACTCTTTAAAATTGAGGGTCATCAATAAAAGTAAGCCATGTGGCAAGGAATGAATAGAGTTTAGTTCATACCAAAAATGAGCTGCCAGTCACTGTGATAAGATCTGTTTCTTTCTGAGACCCATGGTTTCCTGCTGGATTGGAGAATGCAAACTGGGTTTCTTCCTCCTGTCCAAAGAAGTCAGAATCAGGATGTACGTTCCATTCCGTTTTGGTTGGCGGCAGTAGTACTGATACACTGTTTTCACAAAGGGTGCTCGAAGGAGTCAGAGCATCTGTGTCTACTGTTAGCTTACTGCTGGGGGTCAAAGCTTGGGGCTCTTGACTCGAGGTTTTCATGGCCAAAGAGCTCAGAGATCCCAACGGCCCCGCACTTAGACTTGAGACATCATCCGTATCTAAGGGACTCTGCTGAAAACCAGCGGCTGTAGTTCCAAAGAAGAGTGAGGTATCCAGACTTTGAGGAAGGTCACTGGTGGCCATCAAGGTCTGAGGGTCCACCGCCTGCCCTAAGGAATTATTATTATTATTAGCAGGGAGGTTCCCTGCCAGAGTTGAGTTCACAGAAGCCACATCAATAGTCAAAATCCCAGAGTTCACCAATGCGGTGTCCAATACTGCAGCAGAACTATTACTGGGAACATCAGAGAAGAGAGACACAAGCTCTGCATCACCGAGGTCATTCTGCCCCTGGCTGGTAAGTTCACTGCTGGGCGTAAGAGAATTTGCAGCTTCTAGCTGAGCTAAGAGATCCTGGCGCAGGTTGTGCCTTTTGGCCATGTGGGTCTTCATGCTGTGCTTGGATGTGAAGAGTTTATTACAAGTGGAGACTGGGCATCGGCTTTTCCAAGTGTCCACATCCTGCAAGTGTTTCTTGGAGTGAATGTAGAGACTACTGCGAGCAGAGAACCTGGCACAGCAGCCTTCCACAGGGCACACAAAAGGCTTTGTGCCCAAGTGGGTTATGCTGTGGCCTTTCAGATGTTCGGCCCTCGTGAAAGATTTCCCACAGCCTTCTACAGGACACATGAACCTCCGGTCATCGTCGTGCTTCCTTTTGTGCCTAAGGAGTTTGGACATGCTGGTGAAGTTCCAGCCACAGCCCTCAAAGTCACAAAGGAAAGGTCTTTCACCAGTGTGGCTCCGAAGGTGAATTTTCAACCTGCAAGCCTTGTCATACTGTTTGCTGCAGCCAGGAAAGGAGCAGGAAAAGAGTTCCTGTTCCCTGAAGTGGGCGCGGTTATGGGAAAACAGGGCACTCACTGTGATAAACGTCTTCTTGCAGCCCGAAAATGCGCACTGGTAGGGTCTCTCAGGCTCGAAGTGGCTGCGCTGGTGGGCGCTGAGTTTGGCCTGCGTGGGGAAGGTCTCCTCACACACCTCGCATTTGAATGAGTTCTCCTGCTCATGGCCCTTCATGTGTGCTTTGAGGTTATACACCGTGGTGAAGCTCTTGCCACAGCCCTCTGCCGGGCAGCCAAAGGGCCTCAGTTTGTCGTGTGACTGCAGGTGCCTCTTGAGCTTGTACGAGGTGGTGAAGGTCCAGCCGCAACCGCCCAGGGGGCACTTGAAGGGCCGCTGGCCCTGGGTGCTGCTGTGCGTCAGCAGGTGCACCTTCAGCTGGTGCTTCTTGGCAAAGGTTTGTCCGCACTGCGCCTCAGGACACAGGTACAGCACCACGCCCTGGCCCGGGCCTAGCGGCCCGCGGGGACTCTCAGCAGCAACCGGGCCCTCCGCCTCCTCCCCGGGCGCTGGGGCGGGCGCGGGTTCTGCCCGCTCGGCCAGCAGGAGGTCGGGCAGCAGCTCGGGGCAGTCCCCAGGCTGCGCGGCATGCGGGATCCCCGCTTGCGGGGCGATCAGACCCCCGGGCTGCGGGGCAGGGGCGACCCCAGGCGCCCAGCCTGGCGGCGGGGGCGTGGCCAGGGTGAGGAAGCCGTTCTCGAAGCGCAACAGCAGGTTTTGTTTGTGAATGGTGACGGTGCCCGAGAAGGCCGCGGCGGGGCCCAGGCCTGGGGCGGGAATCGGGGCCAGGGCCGGGACTGGGACGCGGATAGCGGACAGGGAGCTGGGGCCCAGCGCAGGGCGGCCCTCGGGGTTCGCGCCGCTTTCGTGCCCATGGAACCGTGGGCCCAGCCCGGCCTCCTCCCTCCATAGGGGCCCTGCAGCCTGGCTGGCGCCCGTGGAATCTACGTCTCCACCCACCGGGTCCAGCAGCACCAGGAAGAAGTCATCGCCATCGTCGCCGCTGCCGCCGCCGCCGCCGCCGCCGCCGCCGCCGCCGCCAGCGTGATCGGGCCTCGGCACCAACGGGCTAGGGCCCGGGCCCGGGGAGGCCTCGCGGGCCACCTCACGCTGCCGCCCGGGCCCGCCATCTTGGGGGCCCCGGAGCAGCAGGAGGCGGCGCGCGGGGGCCTGGCCGGCCCGCGGGTCAGGACCTCCGTGGATCCGGCCGCCGCCCCCGGGGCTGCCAGCGCCGCCGCCCTGTCGCGACCCGCGAGCCGGGAGCAGCCTCGGGATTTCCATCTCCGCGTCCATGAGGCTCCGCTGGAACCAGAATCGCGGAGGAGGCGCGACCCCGCCCCCTGCCGCGGGCCCGAACACGTTCCTGAAAGGAAAAAAAAAAAGTGCAATGCGCAGAAACTGGCCCTATCAGATATTAAAACGTGTTTAACGCCACCGTGATTTAAATATTCTGGTACTGGGTCTCTAGAACAGAATAGAAAGCCCAGGGGCAGAGCCTCGTATACATAAATAAGTTCCACAGTTAATATTAGTAGGAAATCAAGGAGGTCTTCCCAGATACAGGGGAAATGGTGCTGGAATGAATACCTTAGCTATCTATCTGCTAAATGCAACATAAATCGGTACCTCACTACCGATTTATGTACCAAAATAAACACACCCCCAGCCCCTCCCAGTGCTAAACATGGTGGTTAGCACTTATCCTGTATTAAGCATTGTTTACTGGATGGATGGCTGGATTAATGGATGACAGAAAATTCCTGAGAGAATACGCTATGTGTCAAGATTAAACAACCATAGTGCCACCAATTCCTATTGAAAAGGTTGTCTTTTAAAAACATTTCCTGGAAAGCTTCCATATCCAGAGCTGTCTTGAGCAATGTCTTCAGGAAAATTTGTCGCACAGTTAAATTTTTTGTCCTGCTGGTGCAGAGACTAGATTGAGCAAGAGGTGGGGCCGAAGCAGATTAGCACTGTTCAGCCTAGAAATGCAAAGCCTGGAGGATGAAACAATTTATATTGAAATCTGGAGAACCCAACCCACTCCTGGGTTCTCCCTATAAGGTACGCAACCTAAACCAGCTCTTTGCTATTCCACCATTGGTTGCACCGTGGTAAATTTTATGTCCAATCTCACAGCATGATGAGGACATTCCTCAGCTTACTCTAGATTCTCCAGCACACGGAGGTCTCTGGACAAGAGTACTAGTTAAATGTGATAAGGTTAAACCCTAAGTTACTGCAGTGGACTCTCCTGAGAACAAGGCACAGATGCCTTTTGCATGCCCAATAGCCCCAATGTGCCTGCTTGCATTTAAGTGTGGTGGCCTAGTCTCACTGTAATGGATTTGGCCTGTGATGCCTAATGATCTTATTAATGTTGATGATGATCCTTCAATCTGTCTGTCATCAGTGAGTTGGGAATTGATATAAATACAGGGTGAATTAATCTGGCAAGAGAAAGGTTTAGAGTGATGACTAGATTATGGGATACCTATAGTTTAAGTAATCCCTTCTTTCCCCTCTTTTAATGATAATGGACACTTGCTGATCTCTTGATTAAAAGATCAGGTTTTTCATCCATAACAATTCAAACCTCATCAAAATTTCTACATCACATATTTTTCTTTCTATTACAATTTTTGGAGGAAACATTTTTTTCAAATCTGAGGAATAGAGGAATGCATAAAATATATCTGCCAGGTTTAGATAATTTAAAAAAGCAAACACCCGTGTAACCAGGACGAAGGTCAAGAAATAGACCATTGCCAGCCTTCCAGAATACATCCACCGTATTCCTCCCAATCACAAACCATACCCTCCCTTATAGATATAGTTGTTATCTTGACTTTGTGATAATCATTTCAGTGCTTTTTTTTTAATATGACTTTACAACTTTTGTATGCATCCCTAAACAATACAGTTTATATGAAGTTATATCAAGAGAATCATGCTGCATGCTCCCTTTTATGGCCTGCTTCTTTCACTGTGTATCATATTTATTTGAGAGATTCATCCATGTTGTTCCTAGTAGCCATAGATCTTTTGTCTCCATTGTTGACTAGCATTCCAGTGCATGATTTTAGCAAAGTGATTATGATATGATTATTTCATTCTATACTGGATGAACACTGGGTTCATCCAGGGTTGCTTTTAGCTTTTTACTATGAACAATGGTACAATGAACATTCTTGGACATTTTTCATGGGACTCATGTTTAAAAGTCTCTTGGGTATACATGCAAGAACAGAATCACTGGCCCACAGAGTATGCGTATCTTCAGCTTTTCTACACGATGCCAAATTGTTTTCTATAGTGGTTGTACCAATTTACAATCCCACCAGTAACACAGAGAGTTCCTGCTCCTGCACATCTTCATCTACACCAAGTATTGCCAGAATTTAGTTTACTGTTTTTACCACTACTATTAAGTTTGGGCACATTCTCATGTTTATGAACCTCTTGGATTTTCTATTCTGTGAAAAGCCTGTTCGTGTTCAACTCTTTCACCATTTTTCTATTTTATTTTCCATCTTGTCCTTACTGATCCAATGACTTTTTTATACCAGTCCATTGGTGGTTATATGTGGCCAAAATAGACCTTTGCTTTGTTGTTTGTATTTTCTCTTGCTTTATGCCGTGCTTTGTGAACAAATCTTAGTTATAACATACTTAATTATAAAATAGTCAAATTTATCATTCTTTTCCTTGTGGTTAGTGCTTTTCTGTTTCAAGAAATCTGTCCCTGCCCTGGGGCAATGAAAATATTCTCTATATTTCCTTCTGAAATATTTGTGGTTTTGCCTTTCACAGTTAGGTCATAATCCATCTACAAGTGATGTTTGTGTATAGTGTTGAGTAGGGTTTCATTTTTTTTCTTCATGTGGATATCTGATTGTCTCAGTGAACCACTTATTGAAAAGTCTGCCCTTTTACTCTTGATTTGCAGTGCCACATGTGTCATAAATCAAGCATCTACCTATGTATGGGCTAGTTGGTGTACTCTCTATTAAGTACCATGGCTCTATTTATCTGTCCATTTTAAATACCACATATCAATATTAATTACTACAGATCTATAAACAATTCTGATCTTTGGATAAGGCCACTCAATTCTGCCTTGTTCTTCAAGAATGTCTAGGTTATTTTTGGCCTGTCTCAACTCCACTTATATTATCAATTCATCAGAAAAGTTTCAACCAAAATCTTGTTTGAGGTTCTAATTAGGATTGCATTGAACTTTTAGATTTGACTCCTTGTCAATAATATGGAATGTTATTGAAAAGATACGATCTATCTCTCCTTTTAATAAGAACTTCCTTAATGTGTCCCAATAATACATCATATTTTTCCTATAAGAGGACATTTTATCCTAGGTACTTCATATTTTGCAAATACTGCCTTTGAAATGTTCATTTTGTAAATTTGTTGCTGGTAAATAGAATAAAATTGGCTTCTGTATATTGATGTTTTATCCTACAAACAGCTATCTAAACTCTTCTATTGATTCTACCAATTTGAAAATACCTGTAGAATATAGTGTACACAATCATGTCATCTGCAAACAATGCCAGTCTTACTTCTTCCTTTCCGAGCATTTTATTCCTTCTTTTTCCCCTTACTCCTCTTTCTGGGTGTTAGTGGACATTCTTACTTGATGCAGCTCTCAAAAGAAGGCTTTCAGTAATTCCAGGAATGATATTTGCTGTAGGTGTTGTGTTCTGTAGCAATCTGGATCCAATCAGGATATGGAAAGTACACAGTGGACAGGGGAATTTTAACATAAAGTGAAGCATAATGTTTAACATAAAGAATTATTAAACTATGACAAATGTAGAATATATAAGATATAGGAAAACTCTATATGGTATCCTGGGCCTGAGGGAGCGTACCCAAGGAAAGACAAACTTGGAATGCAGGTCCCTCCCCAAGACTGGAGGTCACACCTCATTGGAGAAGGTGTAGGAGAACCTACTGGATGGCAGAGAAGTTTGCTGGTTTGCCAGAGCCAGAGCAGGGCTGCAGAACCACAGCTGGTCTACAGTTGCAAGGTAAGCAGGAAGGTACCCTCTGGAGCACATCAGTGTGGACAAGCCACTGCTGGTGGCCAGCATGTAGACGTGTAGTAGGAGCAAGGGTCCTGGTGGAGTTGGAGGCCTGGAGCTAACAATGTCCTATACATAGGATCCGGAGGGCCTTGGTGTTGTAAGGGCTGCAGCCTTGGGAGAAGTACAGGAGGAAACATTAGTGGTGAGGAGGGGAGGGTTGGGAGAGCAATCAAATAGAGGAAATCAGCGGGTAGGTGGCTGGCTTAGAGCACAGGATGTCCCTATGAAGAGGGCTACAGAAAGCCAATGACCAGGCCACACTGGGATGGCACACTCGATAGGACAGTTGTTCTGGGTACATGCTTGGGGCCGAGCACCTAGGATATCCTTACACCCACACTTCTGACAGCCAGAAGTCACAGGAGAGCCACTTTCTCCTTCAGTAACATTGTGATCACTTTGAAGGAGAGATGCTTAAAGTAATTCAGCCATTATCAGAGAGAATATATTAAAGGGTGAATTTAGAACAGGGAGAACATTAACAACTGGCTTCATATCCTTTATCAGTTTGCGGGGGGTCCCTTCTATTGTTACCTTACATGAATGGTAGGTACCCTATCTATCATAATATTGTTTCTCTGGTGAATTAATGATTAAAGCAGCAGGACTGGCCACTTCCAGATTTTTAATAGACTGCTTACAATTCTTGTTGGACCCTGGCCTGAAATGAGTTTTGCTGCAAAACCCAGGCTCTGGCACAAAAGGGTATCATGGGGGTAGGGCAGAGAGCCTGTGAACTCTGCATTCTAGTCCTACCCAGGGCTTGTCTGCTCTACCTGCAAGGAGAGCCTTGGTGTGTGGTGAGATTGCCTCTTCCACCATGAGTGTGCATATCACACGTTCTCCTCAGGAATCTTCCACCATGAGTGTGAATATCACATGATCTCCTCAGGAATAGACTAGTTTATACCTGAAATGTTGCTCTACTCTCTTGGTAGCTGTACCTACCAAGATGAAGATGATTGGATTCCATTTAAAGCCATGGTCATCAGAGCCCTGTCCATGGAGGAGCAGGGCAAAAGATTCCTGTGTTAATCTTACAAAGTGTACGTGTTTACCAGTGTTGGCAATTTGAGTGCTTTAATTGCACTTTTCTCGATTGCCTTTAGGCTCCAAAATGGACAAAAATTGATGGGGGAAAATGACACATAATTTTGCCATTCCTAAGTGACA